TAATGTCAAGACTGGTCGTTAATTTTTATTTTGTTTCACCATCGTTTTACTTCCAAAACTTTTCCTCTGCAACATTCTCTAACATGTATTGATTGAAAACTTAGTTATTATTTTAAAATTATTATCGGCGAAGTAGAGAAAAAAAATTAAAAAGAAGGGCAGTGATTGCTTTAATCCGACGCAATTTGGTTGTGTAAATAAACATTTAGATTATGCTTAAACTCTTTTAAAATTCTAAGATGCAATTGTCTAAGTATTCATCTAATAGAACTCTAGGAAATTTTTATGATATACAGAATGAAAAAATAATGCTACAAAGAGAATACAAAACCTTCATAGGACTTATATTTGAATGCCACATTCAGACTCGCGCATGTGAAGTGTGCCGACTGTAAATGTAGAGGTGAACAGTGGCTAGATTATCTTCTTCTTCCTTCTTGTATGTAGGCTTTAAAGTTTGTTTCTTCTTCAATATTAGCCTCATCGATTGTTTAAAATAGAGCACCATCTTTTTCTTGGTCTGCTATTCTACTAATGTGTTCGTTCCACTCTTGTTTTCATTTTGTTATCCATCCATTTATGTTTTCGATATTGCATGCTCTTCTTATGTTTTCGCGTCTCTCCCTATCGAACAGACTTTTTCCTAATATTCGTCGGAGTATTTTCATCTCTGTTGTTTCTAGCAGTCGTCTCGTTTTAGATGTGTCAAGTCTTGTCTCCGCCGTGTATCTTAATATAAATTTAATTGCTGTACATATACGATATGTAAAAAATATAATTATTACCTTATTACCAATTACATATAATATTACGTACCTACTACTTTATTTTGGTAAATTAATGTATTTATTAAGTAGATATCTCCTTAATTTAAAACAACTACTTTTGATTATCATTGCTTTTTTACCTATTCTTTATTTTTTCTAAGTTAGTTTTTTATATAAAAGTAGAGCTAAAATTGTTAACAACATTTATGTTGCTTGATAGTTTGTTATCTTATCACCTAAAGAATCTATGCCCTTGATACATGTATGTGGATTTTTTGCCACCCACCATCTTTTTTAAGTTTTCTACTTCATATAATATGGTGGGGGGTCCATCAATCTCTTTCTAGGCAGGTAATGTTCTTTAAAATACAGTCAAGTTTATGTCATGTCATTAATTTGTTTTTTTTTTTGTATTTTAACCATGTTTCAGCACATGTAAGCTTATTAAATGCAAACGTTTATTAAGAAACAACTTTGAAAATAAGGCTATTATTGAGCACAAGTTAATTATATCTAGCCCAAGTACTTTCGCTTAAAATAGCATCTTCAGGGGCATTTCGTCAAAATAAGAACTACGAAATTTTGACGAAATGCCCCTGAAGATGCTATTTTAAGCGAAAGTACTTGGGCTAGATTTAATTAACTTGTGCTCGATAATAGCCTTATTTTCAAAGTTCATTTATTCGAGCATTCAACCTCATTTCATTTATTAAGAAACAGATTAACTTCCGTGGGGCATGGTAGATAGCTGAGTTAGTTAGAGCATAGGCACGGATCACTTAGATCGTGACTCAAACCCTACACGGTGTCAGTTGTTTAGACATTTATTAATTTGGTTAGTCTTTGTTATAGCTATGTTAATTCAAGCTTACAATGTACTTGCTCTGTTGCGTTGTTCTAAGATCTAAAGTAACGTTCAGTAAATAGCAATAGGCTAATGGGTAACTGCAAAACTTGCAAGACTTTTGCTGCAAGACCAAGACAAAGACCGGGATTGCAATACCAAAACCAAGTCCAACACCAGGTGTATTGGTTCAATATCAAGACCAAGACTGTCTCATCTTGTTCTTGCATTTGGGTAACACTACACTGTGGTATTCGCTGACAGTTATGAAGTCCTCCAGGAGTTAATGAATAGAATCACAGAAGTGAGTTAGAGATTTGGTCACTAAACATTAAAAAAAAAAAACAAAATGTATGACGATCTCTAAAAAGGAACAGCAAATTGAAAGAATCAGTGTGAATGGTCAACCAATAAAAAGATTAAAAACATACATCTACCTGTGTACGAACGTCAATGAAAATTAGGATCATTACTTTAGGTGATTTCTTTTTTCTTTTTGCTTGTGTTTTGAAACCTGTTTTCCTTCAGCTGCATTGTGGATTCATTTGATAATAATATATTGTATGATAGACAGAGATATAAACTAAGCGATTTAGAAATCAATTCTACCAAATTTATGTATGTAACCGATAGCAATTAATTCTGTCAACCAATGTTGGCACATAATTTACACATTACTGAAATTGGTCAAACCAGGAAAATTGCAGTTTACTGTTTTTACTTATATGATCAAATAGTGATCGCTGAAAATGGCAATATTATAATGATATGTGAAAGAAGTTGAAAAAATAATACATAAGCTTGCAAAGTGTTAACAAAAGGATCATTTAGCCTTGTACAGCTTTCTAGATTGCGGACTGAAATATCTTTTATACAAAGTGGGCCAAAAGTCTGGAAACGTCTAAGTATCTCTTAAATGTATAGTCCGAATTGTACAAAAACCGGAATACGCTTACTCTGCAATATCTTCTTCGGCTACCATTTTCCATCTACTCCTGAATGTAGGTCTCTCCTACTTGCTTCCAAGTAATTCAATACATATAGAATGCTGCGATTTTGACATTAATTTATAAAACTAACAATAGCTTGAGTTCATTAAAAAGTTTTGAAATACTACTTAGAAATGAAATTGTACCTAACCCGAAAAACAAGTTTGAAGCCAATTTTAATGAGATATGGTTTCTCGGAGCTCTAGCTCATTTTAGTGTGAATATTCGGCGTTATATAGATTAGACATTTCCCGGACGTTAGTTTGGTGGATAATATGGTATTAAATGGCCTCCTCGTTCACCCGATTTGAATCCTAAAGACTATTTTTATTGGGATACTTGAAAATAGGAATTTATAAAATTAAACGAGCAAGTATTGCAGAAATAAGGCAAAGAATGGTCGATAAATTCATATTAATTTCTAGAGAAACATGAAAAATAGTATACAGTAAAACCTCCGTTAACCGAAATAATTGGGGGAAGGCCGTTTCGGATAACAAGAATTTCGGTTAAAAATAACATTGTTTTTTTAAACATTTTTAACATTTAGTATTCTTGGTTAAAATATTGGTATTAAAAATACTATGAGGTGATTTCGTAATGTTTTCTAATAAGTAAATACAGAATAAAGTAATAAAATTAAGGAAAATGAACAAGTTTAACATGATATTTTAAAGAAATCTTCTATTTTTTTTACGTTATGGTTTGACAACGATGTTTTGCAGCTATGAGTGAGTTTGCCTCATTTCATCGTTCGACGAAACGTAAAGCAATCTGAAAAGGACAAAACTTTACACAATGACAACAAAAATTAAGAACCTACTCGTGTCCCTAACTAATTAGGCCTACTGTATAAAATTCTTATCCTTAAGGCATTGAAAATCCCATCGGTGGTCTCATGCTGTCTGTTGTCTGTTGGGTCGTCATCTTCGTCTTCTGATACGCTCAGGTTGTCTGGATGAAGAACCATATCAATGATGACCTGGTCGTTGAATTCACTTTCTGAGTCATCGTCTGCTAACCACTCACGTATCTCTTCTTAGTTAATTTCGTCACATCCCGGCAAATTTTTTATTACAGGTTTAATTTCTTCTGTCGTTTCTTTAACAGTTTCTTCTTCAGGATCGTCAATCAAAATCCTATCAAAAAGTTAGTTCCAGCATTTTTCCAAAGTTGAAGATTTGATCTTGGCCCAGAACTCAGCACACCGATAAACAACATGTTTCATTGTTGAACAATTGAGGATTTCAGGAACACTTTTGGATTCATTCGTCTCCTATAATAACATATGTCTTAAGAATGCTCCTCTATAATGTCTCTCTATTACTCCGTGGTCTAACAGCTGAATTAAGCTCGTGACACTCGGTGACAAAATCTGACAATTATCACTATTACATAGATTTTGAGGGTGAGTTAACGCATTGTCAACAAGCAACAATGCTTTGATGGGAAGGTTTGTTTATTTTAAAAAGGATTTTACACTTGGGACGAATTCATTTTCGAACCATTCTGAAAATAAAGTGGTCGACATCCATGAGCATTTTTGGCTTCTATAAAAAACTGGAAGTGCTTTTTCTCAAATATCTTTTAGAGCTCTTGGTTGTTTTGTGTTCCCAACACACATAGGCATCAATCAGTAAGTGAAATTAATGGAATTGTTTACATTTTGCTATAAAATATTACTTTTTATTGACGAAATAATTGAAACTGTCAACCGTTTCGGTTAAACGATGTTTCATTTAAAAAGGTTTCGGTTAAGGGAGGTTTTACTGTACTATTAAATTAACAAAGAATGACGTTTTAAACACTTGATAAGGTATACAATAATACTAGTTTTTAATAATTTCTTTCAAAAAATGACCTTTACAGAATTAAATTAGTTTCCATGTAACTGCGACTGCGTTCTTCTTTTTCTTGTTTGCTTTTTTTCTTTGTTTGTATATTTCTTATTCATTCAACTAGATGGTAGGAAATGGACTATTACTTTCCATAGTAAATGGACTACTAGTTAACTCCATATAATATTTTTGTACAGAAAAAGTTTTAAAATAATATTCTCTTTTAGTCACATTTTTAGGGAACTGTTTTAAAATCTATATCATAATTCTCTAGATTCTTCTATGCTGTTATTGCTATTCCTTGCTATTTCACACTCTTTTTCAAACCAATAAGGATAAATAGGGACGACTGAAGAGCCAGAAACCAGAATGATGAACATTTATTACTACTTGATATGTATCTATGGTTGTCTTTTATTTCTTCCCTATATTGTTTTTGTACGGTTTCTTCTTTCAGATTTGTGTCTTGATTAATACATTAGTCATCGCTGTGTGACATTTTGATTGACAGTACTTATTCTTGTTATTATTATTTGTATTAAGATAATTTCTTTTGTTACAGCTAACCTCCAAAACCTCTCCACCAACGGCGGACCACCAATCGTGCGATGCGCTCTCCGGAAACACAAACCCAACAGAAAACCCCGAACGCCGTTCACCACGCAGCAACTGTTAGCCTTAGAAAAGAAATTTAGAGATAAGCAGTACCTTAGTATAGCAGAAAGGGCTGAGTTTTCGAGTTCCCTGAGGCTCACCGAAACACAGGTAGGTTAAGTAATGTCAAAATTTTTTGTTATTTTGACTTATTTTTGTTTTATTTTTTATAATATTTGTGTTAATTTTGTATGTGTATGTAGTTCTTTACTCCGCTTCCATAATAATGTTTCTCTTTCTGTTTGGTGATGACTACAGCTATTCCGATTTCTTACTCCAGTTACTTGAAATTTTTACGAAAATTAATGTTAATGTACTAGATTTCACTGGATTTATCTACCATTTTCATTTAAAATACGTTTATTTTTTAATATTTAGTATTAAAAAATTTAATATGTAGGTTTGACTTGATCTTCGCATATCGAGTAAGGAAGCTTGTTATAATTTGCAGTTGATTCCTGCTTATTTTCTGTTTTGTGTATTTAAACATTTGCCAGAAGACAAAACAGCTAGGAAAAAAGATTAAATGACTTAAGAGACTCTCAATCTTGTAGAAGAAAGACGAAAAGTTAGAAGAAATAGAGATATCTACAAAAATAAAATTGTAAAACACTTGTGCAGAAGGGACGACAAAAATAATTATATTAAAAACACATTTGTACAACTAGAGGGACATGCATCATCAAAAATAAGAGTGGAAATACCATAACAAACCCAGATGGTATCGCAGTGGTGTAAAAACAATATTGCGAAATACTATTCTCTAACAACCACCTAGACAATAATACAGAGAAAAGAAGTTATAAAAAAGAACCTCGAACATTGAACTCAGAAATTGAGGCGGCAATTAAAAAGCTAAAATTTAAAAAAGCAGAAAAAGAAGTTGAAATAACAGCTGAAACACCCAAATAAATTGGAGAATTTGGGACGGAAGTAATGCTTAGAATTTGCAATGATATCTAGAATACCGGAAAGTGGCCAAATGTTGAGGTAAACTCACATTTATTCCCATATATAAAAAAAAACCGACAGATTGCAGTAATTACTGTACAGTAGCATTGGTATCACAAGTGAGCAAAGTACTTCTAACCATCATCAATGAAAGACTAAAATTAATTCTCTTACCACAAATTTTCCAAGAACAATGCGGATTCGTCCCAGGTAGACAAGAGCACATATTCTTAATATTCGTCAAATTATCGAAAAATCTCGAGAGTAAAATAGAAACATATTTAAGCTTTGTTGACTATTTCAAGGTAGAATAGATTAGAATATTATTATATAGCCAGAATATCTGATCTATTTATTACAAAAAATATATGTACTGGCACTCTAAAACGAATTATGTTGATATCTGACCCATATCAGTGTGACACTGTTCAGCCAGCCTATTAATTCTTCTTTGCATTCTCACCACCTAGAGTCTATTTTAGAGATATAGAAAGCTCCCACAGGTCACCACTAGTCTAGACCCGTCTCTACAATAGTTGTAACACTGCAACCAAGGTAGTGTTTCCTCTGGGCCATCTCTCTCGTGAATAGATATTTATCCGTAAAAATGCTTCAGGCTTTGTATTTGCGTATCATATGCTCTATGTATATCCCATTCTCAGCTCCTTACTTATATCTATATGTAAAGCTGCTCATGGTGTGCACCTCAGGGCCCCTGGACTTCTCAGCAACCAGTAAGTTTTTCCATCTTGCTTAATCCGAGGACGGCACATTTTTGCAACCATACCATTGATTCATATATAATAATTGTTGGTTTTACCACCTTGTTATAAATCCAATATAAAATGTTTAGTTTTAAATAACATGTTTCCATGAGTGTTGCCAAATCTCAAATAAAGTACCAATCACATTCATTGTGCCAGTCTTCTTAGCTAAAAAATGGTGAATGTTCTTCTATATTCAATAAGTTATGTTTAATTAAACGAATCCACCATTTTTTTAGTACTACTTTTTTGTTTATTTGCTTTCACCATATTTTAATTTCACCATTTCTTAGTATCGCTGTCCCGGTGGAACAATGACGCAACTACAAAAGTGTAACTTTTCAGGATAGCCAAAAATATAAAATTATTTTACTTAATACCCCATGAAATGAAGTTACTGGATTAGTATTGCAATTATACAAATTATACAACAATGAGGCAATAATTGAGGCAACAATGACGTAATTGCAATTGGGGATCAAATTTAGGGATGAAAAATTAAGAATTTAGAATTTAGATTTAAAAAGAAAAATTTAGAATTTAGTTTTAAAGATAAAATTTCCACAGACATACTCATTTTGTGAAATTTTTGATTACCTAACTAGTTTTGAAAGGTGGTATCAAAATAAGAACAAAAATTCAATAAAAAAGTTTATTAAACAAATTGCAAATTGTAGTAAAAGCAAACATTTTTAATAAAAAGGAACTTAAAAATAAAATCAAAATTGCAAAAAAAGTATCAACGAAAAATTGAATCGTAAAAGACTTTACAAAATCCAGGAATTATGTTTTAAAAGTAACTGTTTCAAATCTTTTAGTTTGTTATCACCTAAAGAAATTTTTGAAGAGTAAGCCCTACGCAGCTGGCATTTCGGTGAAAACAATTCGGACTAACTCCGACCACTTCTTTTTTGGCAAACATCAACTTTCGTCCACGTTGGTTGTTTATAACTTTTTTTATACAGGAAGTAATCTTTCCCTTTTAAGATTTGAAGTAACATTACTTCAGTTATTTTGAAGTCATGGCCTTCCTCGTCTTTGGTGAAATCTAGTCCCATTTCATTGCACAGTGCTTTTACATCGTAAAACTCAGTGAAATCCATTTCTTTAACGGTTAAAGGAGCTCCTGTTTTTTTAGCATTCCTAATTAATTCAACATATTGCTCGGGAATGTATATGGGCCCTAATTTGGTTGCTCTCTTCACTGCTTTTTCTATTATGCTGTGGACTGAATCACCTTCATTTTGGGTGTGACCGCGAACAAGGTACTTGTGAGTAATAGAATTGATGTCCAAAGTATTGACAGCAAACAGGTACATGGCTATTAGAAATTTATTTTTTTGTTGGCCTCCACAGTTATCGGAATAAAAAATCACAATAACTCCTGGGCTGGTTATTGACAATTCTATTAGATAGTAATAAATGCAAGATTCGATTTCTATTGCCCCTCTATTCCCCATCACTTCATTCCAAAAGTAACAGCTAGCTTTATTAATTTCACAACTGCTATATTTCAGAGACTTTTATTAGGCATATTTTCGCATTTACTTCTACTACTGTAAAGTTATAACAGTTTAAGGAAGATCTGTAAAAAATCGGTTTATATATAATTATATATCTGTATATATATAATCGGTTTAAAACGTCCTCCGACGTCTTCCGATGCCCAATCTCCATGCATCTCTATCTTCCCAAAGATCTTCGTCTAAACCTCTCTCTCGGATCTCTCTGTCTATTCCTTCTCTCCAGCTCTTTCTGGGTCGGCCTCTTTTTCTCTTTCCATGTGGTGACCAATCTATAATCTGTTTGGGCAGACGATGTTTTGGCATTCTCTGCACATGTCCATACCACTTTAGTTGTTGTACTCTTATATCTTCGACAATCGTATGTGTGACTCCCATAACCTCTCGTATACGTTCGTTATTAATTCTTTCGAGTTTTGATTTTCCTGCGGCCCGTCTCCAGTAGTCCATCTCCGTGGCTTGTAGTGTTCTTTCAGTAGTTGCCTTTAACTGCCACACGTCACTTCCATACATTACTATGCTCTTTATAATAGTGTTGTATATTCGATGTTTATTTTTTTTGGATATATGTTGATCCCAGATAATACTATTTAGTTGAGATATGGCCCTTCTACCCTGAGTGTTTCGTTTTTTTATAGACTGATCTGATTTGCCGTCGTCTGTGATTTCTACTCCTAAATAGGAATATTTATTGTTGTACTTAATGTGTTGTCCGTCGTTTAAAACTAGATTTTGTTCTTTACCACCGATGTTCATGTACATTGTTTTATCTATGTTGACTTCTAATCCCCATTTTTTGTATTCTTCGATTAATTTTCGAGTCATGTATTCTAGGTCGTCATATTCGTTAGCAATCACAATTTGATCATCAGCAAAACATAGAGTGTACAGGTTGTTATTGTTTAATTGTATACCCATGCCGCTGCATTTCCGCTTCCAGAGTTTTAATGCTTCTTCCAGATATATTTTGAAAAGTGTTGGCGCTAAGCAGCATCCCTGCTTCAGTTCTTTGTCTACTACAAAACCTTTGGAAACATTCGTTCCTATTTTAACTTTGGCGTTGGCGTTCTCATATAGTTTTTCCACTGCTGTTATGAGATTTGAGTTGATGTTCGTTTGTCTGAGAGTGTTCCATAACTTATTTTGAGGGATGCTATCGTAGGCCTTTTTTAGATCAACAAGCAAAAAGTAGACTTCTTGATCTACAGCAACCTTTTTTTTCTATAAGTTGGGTGATACAAAAAAGGTGGTCTATGGTCGATCTACCAGCTCTAAAACCCGCCTGTTCTTCTGCCTCCAAAAAAATATAGAACTTTGTCTTATTGGTACAGGTAACACTGCTTGTAAATCATATGTAGCTAGATGTATATTGTTATCAGAATTTTTTGTTTTCAGTTTATCGTTAGTTTTTTCTTTACGACTTAGATCCTTTTCCTCTAAGTGATTTTCAATAGTTGTTTGCATATTTGTTCTTGTGCTCCGGCATTTTTAAAAGATTCTCATTGGTGGCAAAGATCTTTCTTCGGGATAAGAAACCCTACATTAAATTCGCTGTTGAAAATACGAGAATAATAATCGTAGGTTGCTGACTTTTCTTTTGCTTCTTTTTGTTTCTTTATACAGTTTCTGTGAAGTTCCGCAATACTTAAACCACCGTCTATGTATTGCCTCAAAGAATCACTTCAAAGATAGTGACTTTCAATACGTGGAATTGAATTTATAAGGCTACGAACAGAATCCAAAATTTTGTCACTTATTTTCTTGTGACTCTCGTGCTTCACACGTTTATCTTCTGGTATAATAGTAGTTTTTTCACTTAAAACTGCTTTAATTATAGAGCGAATAGCTCTTTCAGTTATTCCAAAAGTATTAATGAGAAACGTTTTACATACCCGTTCTTGTTTTCCCTTGCCTGTAATAAAAACTGCACAATTTGTATTTCTGGAGTGGTTTTTGATGTAGAAATACGTCGGTAGCTCAACTCAAATGACTGAATATAAGAAGCCAAAAGAATCTTGTTGGCTTTGCAAGGACCCTAATACCCAATACTCTTTAAACTGTGGCTCTCTCAGCTCTTCAGTTACCCTACTTGGACATTGCAAACGGCATTTGTCGGTACACGTAGGTCCCATTTTTTTAGCAGCTAAAGGTTTCGTGTTTTAGAAGTATACCCCTGTCCAGAATTCTTTAGTCTTTTCTTCTTTTCTTTCAACCAATTATCCATATTCCTTTGTCTTTTTTTCCTTATTGACTAAGAGAGCATTACCAAGTGTGTGTGTTTGGGGATGTTGGTGTATATTTTACTTACATAAAATGCACTTGTCAATGTTGCCTCACAATAAGGAGAAATTCAGATAAAAAATGATACAGAATACAGTTACGTCAATGTTTCTGCGTATTTGTAAAAAAAACCTTAGAGCAGCAATAACATAAAATACAACTGCTTCAATGTAGCACCGTAGGTACAAGCACACACTTAACCTATCGAAGCACAACTATACATTCTATCATTGTTTCTCCGAGATCGGCTGATTTTTCAAATATGACGCATCTGTTTCCTGGTGGCTAAAAGCTGAACAACAGGTCTGACAGTGATCTGACGAATGAGGTAATCAAGTTTGGACCCAATGACGACATAAACTCATTTTCGATAAATTTGCAGTTACGTCAATGTTCCACCGGGACAGCGATATGGCAAATCAAAACACACACTTACACACTAAACAAAATCCTTACTCTAAAAAAGCGGCAACACTTTAAACAATTTTGCCACACGCTAACCTGTCATTAAAATTTGAAGTATTTCCTTATCGCTTACGTACAATTTTCTAATCTATTTAATTAAAATTATTATTTTGTGGAATATTAGACTTAAAGAGTTATTTCATAAAATTTATATTATTAATAATAACAAACGTTTTTGGTTATTTAATTAATATAATTCTAAAATTTACAATATAATGATGATTACATTTTTATGATTATTATACCATGTTGACGCTTATGAAAGATCGAGCAGTTTCGTATGAGTTTAACACTAGCTGTGTTAAAAAAATTTTAACTCTAAGGTTGACATTCTGGAAATTTTAAATACAAGTGACGTCACTTTATATAAATTGCGACAGGCAACATTTTTACTTTGAAAAATGGTATATATAAATATCATAACAAAATTATTAAGTTTAAATATATTTTAATTATGATTAACACATTGTTTTTTGTTACAGGTAAAAATTTGGTTTCAAAATCGGAGGGCAAAAGCGAAACGACTCCAAGAAGCAGAGCTGGAAAAACTCAGGCTCTCTGCCAGACCTCTCCTGCCTCCTAGTTTTGGTCTTTTCCACGGCGGAGGCCCCCTAGTTTCTCCCTTCTTGGCAGCCATGGCGCATCGACCCCCTAATTTCGCCTTTTCGGCTCCCATGTTGAATATACCCCAGTGACCAAAGAGTAGTAGTTAAGGTTGTGTAGGTGTAGAGCAAGATTCTTTGCAAACATACGTAATTTTTCTTTATAAAAATCACATATAATTAGTTCTGGTAATTTTGGTGTCTTTATTGTTTATTACATACAATCTTTAAAAAGTTACTTTATATTTTTAGTCTTCCGATTACAATGACGTAGTATGTTTGTTAAGAATAGATCCTCTTGGAAATTTTCTTGTAAATTATGTGCAAAAAGACAAAACTGATTCTAGTTTTCGTTTAACTATATTACTCTTATTGTAAACAGTGATATTTTGCCTGGCGTGTTATATTTTGTCTTTCTCTTTAGTGCAATGTTCGATACGCCGGGCAGTTTCCATGGTTTTTGTATCTACTTATATAAGACTGATTAGGAGGTTTTTCTTTAATGTATATTTGTAATTATGGTTTACGTGTACAAATGTTTATTTAATTTTGTTGTATATTGTTGTACATAGTGAAGATATGATATTAAATGTTTGTTTTTATAAACACGATTTCTCATTTTTTCCCTTATTAAATAAATATATTGTGATATTTGAAGCGAACAGATACAAGCGTATGAAAACACTATAGGGAAGCAAATTTGTTTTCAAAACACGAAAGGATCAATTAACATAATGCTGCCGATGTCTCGCAGAACGACAGAACAAAGAAATGGAAAAATAAAAACAAAAAAAAGTAAAATAGATTAGACCTTTTAACCAGAAAAGAAGAAAAATAAAAAAGGAATATACAGTACCTGGTTAAATTATTAGACAAAGCAACGAAAAATTTACTATATGAAGTTATTTCTCTTATGATTATGAATATTTTTGAAAAAAAATTACTGTTTTGTTCTTTTTTGTGAATATTAACTCATAGGTAATTAAACTGTACTAAAAAAGTTAACAAAAAACTTTTATTTATTAAAAAAGTATAATTTTTACAAAGTAGGGATAAATTTAATATTTTGTATGTCCGCCTTTGGCTGCTAAAAGAGCTTGAACACGTCGAGGCATGCTCTCGATACAGGCTTGAATAGTTTCCTGGAGGTGAGGATTATGATTCCACTCATATATGAGCGTTTCAAGTAACTCCCTTTTATTAGTAATGTTTTTTTTCGCAATCTCCCTTTTCAGTAGTTCCCACCCATTCTCAATAGCGTTCATATCAGGCGAGTTGCCTGAGCAGTCAAGAACTTTAATTTTTGTTTGTTTTAAATAAGTTGAAATACTATCAGCCTTGTGACAAGAGCATCGTGCTCCTTTTCTCCATGAAACCATTCCTGTAGCTGTGGAAAAAGTTTCGTCTAGGGTACTTTCCGGTACTAGTCCGTGTTTTCCACCACGTAGAGACGACCTGTACCTTTGCCGAATACCACAGACCAGACCATGAGTGACGACTGACGGTAGGTATTTGATGGTGGGCACAATTCAGTAGGGCTTGTCTCGTTGGGACGTCTCCGAACAAACTTCGTTTTTTCTGTCAAATCTTGAAAAACGAATGCGTTCGAGAAGCAGACCTGAAATCAACAAAATTTTTAGAAATGCTTATGTTCTTTAATTTTTAATATTGATATTCAAGCAAAACAACACAAATATACCTCTTTCCAGTCTTCCACTTTCCAGTTTTTGTATTTTTGTGCCCATTCGAAACGTTTTTTTATTACAGCTGAGGTAAGCCTTGACTTACAACCTGGTGTCCTAGCTAGCAGTTTGTTTTTGATAAGCCTCCGACAAACTGTTCATTCTGAAACAAAAATTTTTTCATCTCTTATCTCATGGGTAAGCATTTGCAGTGGTTTCTTTCTGTTTGGTAGGCAAATATCTCTTATTTTGCAATTAGTCTGAGGAGTAGTCACTAGGGATGGCGGTTTTTGACAAAACACCGGTTTTCGGTTATACCGGTTTTTTTTTGCTTACGGTTTAACCTGGCAGTTATAACCGGCCAAAAAACCCGTTTTCGGTTTTTTTTAATCCAATAGATTAGACAGTTACATTTACAATGTACTTTAGCTTACGATACTACATTCGACTCGATATCAATATGATCAAAATTAGTACTATCGAAAGAACATCAATATCAATGTAAATACAACACAATTTTTTGTGTTTTGTGAGAAAAAAATTCCCCAACAAAAATTTCCCAGACTCTTTCAAATGGAATTTAAATAAAATAATATCAACATAAATATTTTACTTGAAAATAAATTGGATAATGCAATTCATCTTTTTTTTTTACTACCATCTGGTATAGGTATAAATCGTTTTAAAAACGTAGAGAAATCCTTGGAGATTCGTATTCGTAATCGGTAATTCGATATTCATAGTCATTATTTTTGATAATGAGAAAAAGCCATTCACCTACTTTAAATGTCAAGAGTCAAGTGTGAAAAATAGATGATGTATAAATACCAGATCATTTCTTATGTAAAAATATTATGATTACAAATAATTCTTCAACGAAATACTATAATAAAATTTAATTGTTTCCGGCTGATGTGAGCTTGCACTTTCAGTTTGCTTCTGTATTTATAAAATAAAATAAAAATTGAATTTTAGTTTTGTTTGGAATAATTACTTGAGAATAATAATTATGATTGGGTGGGATCCAAAATATTACCTAACCTAATCCTAATTCTATAAAAACCTAATAACCGGTTTTTACTTTAAAAATAAAAAACCGGTTATAACCGAGACAAAAAAACAACAGATAAAACCGGTTATTTCGAAGTAAAAAAACCGGTTGTCGGTTAAAACCGGTAAGTTTTTCCCATCCTTAGTAGTCACACGATGTCTTCCGCTGTGACCAATCCAGACCAATTGGATCCAAACTGACTTATTTTTTATATTTTTTAGAGAACTTCTTGATACTCCTACCATTGCTACTATTATATTTTGCGACATTTGTCCAGCTTTTAGGAGTCTAAATACCTGGACCACTCGTTTTGATGACAGATCAGCGTTTTTCCCCATCTAAGAATGTATATTACCCTTACTTATACCAATAACTTCACTGCATATGTTTATATTCTAAAAAATAATAATAGAATAGGACAAATCACTCACCTCTGCAATAAAATTTCAGGTTAAAACCGTTTAAAATTCCAATCTTCACAGACAGTATTTGAGGTTATAAAATGCACACTAGTTGACAGAACGCAATGTTGTCTAGAAAAAAAAAATAACATTCTCATCGATAAAAATTATTAATTTTAAAAAATGCAAATTTTCACTGCATAGAAAATTTTCTTGTATAGAAACAGACTAACAGAAAAGGTAAATAGCCATAACCTAGAGACTAAAAAGAATAATATAGAAGAAACCTGGAAAATTACGAAAAAAAGTATCCTACAAGCAGCGGAAGAAGCTTTAGGTAAAAGAAAAGATAACAGAAATAAACGGGAATACAAAACTCCATTGTACAACGAAAGGGTGAAAACACTAGCAAATGAAAATAAACAGGGAACAATGGACTGAGCATTTCACGAAATTATATCTAGGAGAGGAAGAGAACAGAGAAATAATCGTTAAGTAAACTCACGATAGAGTACTAATATCAGAAGAAGAGCTACAAGAACGAATAAAAAAATTAAAAAACAGAAAAATACCTGGTTCTGATAAGATATGGAGGAGGAACACTATGCAAATGGCTTCTAAAATTATTCGTCGATATAATAAATACTGGAGTAGTAGCAGAGGAATGGAAGGAAAGTCTCCTGCTACCGATACTTAAAAGGAGAGACTCGAGAAATTTTGAAAATTATAGAGGCATTAGTCTAATGAATAGTATATTAAAATTGTTAATGGCAATCATAAAAGATAAAATCGAGGAAAAAGCGAACATAGCAGATGCACAACAAGGCTTGCGGAAGAACCGCAGTACAATAGACGCAATTTTTATTATCAGACAAATAATAGAGAATTCTATTGAATATGGAAAACCAGCATACATGTGCTTTGTAGATTTAAAAAGTGCTTTTGACAAGGTGAAGCGAATTGAAATCTTAAATTTATTACAAGCTGAACAAATAGACCATCAGATAATGACAATTAATGAAATTAACAAGAACAAAAAGACCAGAGTTATAATGCTAACAGGAGAAACAGAATGCATAGAACTAAAAGGAGGAATCCGCCAGGGAGTCTCGCTCATCCCATTGTTATTCAATATGGTGATGAATCAAATAATTTACGAAGTAATTGCTGATAACGAAGATGGCCTACAAAAGCAGCTCCACACCTTTAATATCACAGCAAATAAACTTAATATGAGAATATCAGTAGAAAAACCTAAATGTATAGTGATCAGTAAAGAGCCGCGTAGATGCAAACTAGAAATAGACGACAAAATTAAAGAACAAATAATGAAATTCAATTACCTAGGAGTAGAGATCACTAGTGACAGGGATATAAGAACAGAGACCACAAGGCAAGCATCAAAAGCGGCAAGAGTAAGTGGTTGCCTCCGAGAAACCATATGAAGAAACAAATATCTGACCACGGAAAGCAAAATGAAAGTATACAAGACAACAGTAAGACCAATCCTGACATATGCAGCGGAGACAAGGACCGATATAAGAAAGACGAAACAACAGATCAACAATATCGAAATGAAAGTATTAAGATCAATAGCGGGCATATCATTAACCCATTAATGCCCAAAATTAAATTTTTATCAAAATTAAATCAAAACTTCAGAATGAAATAAGGAGAGGTTATTTTTAATAGTAATGTGCAAAATTTACGGTTTTTTTCTTTGTAACTCTCTTTTTTTTAACGTATGATATATCATACGCTGGGCAATGAAGGACACAATATTTCATAAAACATTATTTATTTTAAAATTTTTACAACGTGTGATATTTGACAAAACATTGCTCGGGATGAAGTCCTACATTACATTTAATGCATCGATATTTGGTACACTTGCCACATTTGCCGCACCTTCGTTGTTTTTCAATTTTGTCCACCAAATGACCCACATTATCCAAACGAATTTCGTCAGCAACATTTTTTGAAGACTTTGGACGTACTCCACGCGGCGTTGGAATATCTGGAGCTGTCAGCAGGGCCTCCACAATTCGCCTGTAAAATTCTAATAAAGAAATTGCCTCAATGTTGCGGTAAAGAAGCCACATGTTGACTATTGCCCCATTCAAGCAAAATCTAAATATCGCCCAATACCATTTTTTAGATCGAATTCGAATCCTATATAAACCTCGTAGCTTATCGAATAAGTCTACACCACCCATTCCCTTGTTATACATTTGCACAACGTTTGGTTGAGGGACCGCTATAATTTTTCTGTCTTTTCTGGACCATCTGTTACAGTTTCCAATAGTAAATACTTCTGGAGTTGAAATGTTAGTTGCCATAGTAACTTCATTATTGTCATTCCAGCGAACAAGAGTGAGCTGGTGTTCTTTGCTATGTAGAGCGTGGGAAGTTCCACGAATTTCTTTTTTTATTTCTTTGAGTGGGGCTCTTTCAATCCTGTCTTTTCTAAT